TTGTTCATTTTAAGTGTATCATCGCTACTTTATTTATCTCATAGATAAATAAGAAGTACCAAAATCCATATATTCATAGGTTACTGCATGTGAAATACTGTCTTTCAACTACTGGTCTGAAAATGCTGTGAAAATAATGTGTAAAAACCTTTAACATTTAAGTCATTCAGTTCTTTCTGTGTTTTTAATTCAAACAAAAAATAAAAGAAGAAGAAGGAGGAACTATCAGATAGTCTATCAGCTATACATTGATGAATACTTCCTTCTTAAACATGATTTTTTTTTTAAATCCAGTACATTAATTGTAAAGATGTATTCTTTACCTATGACTTAATCTGAAAAATTCCAGAGTTTGCTTTTCAGTTGTAGCTGAATATAATCTGAGAAATCCCCTGTGATGCTGTAGAAATTAATGGCTTCATTTTTTCACCTGCTTGTCAGAGTGTCATCATTTTTAGCACTCTCGCTCTCTCAGACACACACAGACACACACAGCAGCCACCACACATACAGCTTCATTGATTCTCCAGATTGACTGGCTGCGGTCCAGAATTGAAGGGTGACAGTTGCTTCCTGAGACAGCTGAGTCAGCAGCTGCTGTCGGTAATAGCTCTACATCGTAACACCCCCTCATCTCCTCAAACCAGCCTGTGTTCATTTCCTATCCTCAAGGCTAACCAAATATACACAAGACAGAAAGTAACCGAGTGTGACAGCATGGCAGAGACTTAGTGATCTAGAATATACCTCCTTCCTTTGTTTGTTTTGCCGTCTCTCTCTGTTGTCATGTATTTGCAATTGGGCCCTTGGGAATCCAGGCGGCGGCAGGGCTGTTGTTCACATTGGTATTGTTACACTTGAAGATGCAAACAAAACAATGTGGGGTTTCCAGGCAGGGAAATCCAGCAATCATGTGCCGAGAGATCGTTCATCAAAGACAGAGTGAAAAACTCTCATATTGAAAATGGGAAGTAAAATAACAGCTCATCTCTCATGAATTCACAGAAGTCTTTTTTTATGGCTGTATAAATGTACAATAGGTTGCTGTTTGTCACAACTGTTAAAACCTACCTTGGCACAGTTTCATTAAAATATGTTCAGCCCTTTTTAGAATGGTTGCCTAAGTTTGTCTTATTTATTCATAGTGCCAAGCAAATAAATACATCTAAAAGAAGGAAAGAAACATAAGTTTAAATATTTTGTACAGCCAAATGGTTGTTTCGGATTTATTCATGTACACTAATCTACTTACACTCAATAAAGGAGTTCATCAAATGCACTTCGTTGTGTTTTTTTTTTTCTTCATCAGAAGAGGGTTCAGCTGTTTCGTGGAAATTTAAAACACTTATTTATTGTCTTTTTTTATCTGGAGTTTGTCTTTGTTTCCTATGTTATTCTTGGTTTTCCTTTAATACTGGTACACTTTGAGTATATTTTCTGCAATGACGTCTCACTTGTTTGTGGGCCTGAAGCAGTTCCTGGAATTTTAAAGCCAAACTTATTGGACATTGAAATTGACTCGTAAACATGTTTTACACGTTTCCACTGTGTTGGGTGAGTTTTCTCTCTTTATCTGTAGTAGCTGGACTCATCAACTTTGGCTTGTGACTGTTTGAGTTGAGTTGAACACCATTAATCTAAACCATTGATAAATAATGTTTGTATCAGAGTCTGTCCCTACCATGTGAAAGTTTCAGCAGTAAACAAGACTCATCAGGCCAATCTTCTGTTGCCCGAATTGTAGCCATGCTTCCCTGTTTTTCATGGGCAGGAGTGGCACTCAGTCTAGTCTTCTACTGTTGTGGCCCATCTGCCTCCAAGTTTGATGTGTTATGTGTTATGCATCGCTTGATTTGGTGATCACTTGAGTTACCATCGCCTTCCTATTAGCTCAATGTATTGAGGGTATTCTCCCGTGACGTCTGGTATCAACAAGATATTTTTGCCCACAGAACTGCTGCTCACTGGATATTTTCTCTTTTTCAGACCGCTCTGTCTAAACTCTCGAGATGAGTGTGTGTGAAAAATTCCAGTAGATCAGCAGTTTCTGAAATACTCACATCAGCATCTCCTGCAGCAGCAACCAAGACACATTCAAATTTACTTCCTTCCCCAATCTTACGCTTGATTAACTAACTTAACTTTAGTAGGTCATCTTGATCATATATATCTGCCTAAATAGACTAAGTTGCTACCATCTGATGAGCTGATTAGATACTTGCATTAACGAGCAGCTGAACAGGTGTACATAACAAGGTGGCCAGTGAGTGTGTACAGCAATAAGAAAACTAAAAACGATACACAATTCTATAATGAAGGGTCTCTTTCATTTTCACAGCAGAAATATGCTTACCAAGGTACAGAGAAATCATATTTGTTAGTAATTATAATAAGATTGAACTCTGTTCTCTTGAAATGTCCCAAGTTATAAAACTCTGACCTACAACCAATACACACAATAGTAGTACAGTGAAACACACACAATTCAGTGGAAGTCAGCAGTTACTAACGCCTGCTTTTTTATTACACACATCTGTGTGTACTCCACATTCCTTCAGTCCTTCAAGATTTCTTTTATAGCTTACCCAGTCGATGCAGCATATACGCCTTTGTAAGTGCCCCAGTAAACTTATTACAAGCAGTTTAGTTCATGATTAAAAAACCTAAAGTTTAATTACAGAACAAACCTTTACAAAACACTAAACTATCAGTATTTCTGAATCTATCATGGTCATGGGTCTGTGACCCAGTGTTTATGTGTCTTTTGGTTTAATTCATATTTTTTGATTTAGTGTTATTCGTGGTTCTGTTTCCTCGCTCTTCCTAGTTTAGTCATTTGCATTTCTAGTTTTTAGGTTCTTGCTCATTGAGTCTGTTCCCTTTTGTGCTCTGGTTGTCCCGTCTGTGTTCTCCCCAGCCCGTCATGTCTCTTGCCCTTTCTGTCTCTTCAGACTGTCTTGTACCCATGCCTGTTTCTCCCTCGGTCCCAGTGTCAAGCCCTTGTCTCTTACTCTGTAATTCAGTGTGTTTCCTGTTTTATTTTGACAGTCTCTCATCCTGTGTTCAGTGAGTTCAGTTTCGCTTCCTCCCTCGCTCATTGTGTCTGATTACTTCCAGCTGTGTCCCCTCCTGTTTCCCATCCTTTCCTTATCCTCTGCGTAATTATGTCCTCCGTCTTGCTCTGCTTGTTGTCGTGTTGCTCACGTTGCTGTGTGTCTCCATGTGTCTTTTTACCCCTGCTACTCCCTTGCTGGTAGTTTCTAGTTTTCAGTTTCCAGTGTTCGGTTTTGTTTTCCTGCATATAGTATTTGAGTATTTTATTGCAGCAAATAAAAGCTGCCTCTTATAGCTATCCCTTCGTGTTAGAGTCCTGCTTTTGGGTCCTGCCTCTGCCTGCCACACATGATAGAATCAGTATTTCTGAAGCAGGCTGTGTTGTTTATTTTAATAAATATGTTTTATCTATCTATCTATCTATATAACTTGCTCATGCACCCTCGGGGGCGTCTCCCATTTCGACCTCGGGACTTCCAGGCCATACTCGGCACAGATATTTTTGTATACTATGACAGCCACATTGTTTTGGGGTTCCATGCCTGCTAGCATCTTGCACCCTGCTTTTATGTGCTGGACTGTCTCAGGAGCATCTTTACACAGCCTGTCTTGAGGCGCCGGTATATATTAGGTTATTTAGCAACAGATAAGTAAGCTATGAAAAGAGCATCTTAGAAAGGCAGAATGCCTCAGAAGCAAAGACGGGAAGAGGTGTACAAATCTGCAGAAAAGAGCATCAAACAATTTTTGAAATTGTCAATTTCAGAATAATTTCCCTGGATGTGAAATTGTGAATACTTTTAATATCTTCATAAGATTGCAAGAATCTGGATAAATTTGCATACCAGATTCAGTTTTGGATCCCTCTGATCTTCAGGCCCTCAGGCAGTACTGCAATAAAAACAGACAAAATTCTGTGTTGTAATCACTGGAATAAGTCCAGAAATCATTGTCTGTGAACACAGTTCCCCACAACATTCATCTTTTTGGGACGAAGTCTCATTTAAAATAGACTGAGACAAAGTGGGAAATTGCTCTGTGGTCAGATAAATCAAAATCTGGAATTGTTTTTGGAAAAGAACGTCATATACTTGAGGAGAAGGATCATCTAGTTTTTTTTATCAGCGCTCAGTCCAAAAGGATACAGTTTTGATGGTAGCGGAGTGAAAGGTATAGACAGGTTTTAAAGCAACATAGGTTCCCATCCAGACACTGGTTTTTAGAGAAAGCCTTACATATTTCTAGGTGTTTGTAGGTGCTGAAATGGCCTGTGTCCAGATGTTTCACCAAGTGAAAAAAGTGATGTTTTATATATTCTACTGTGAATAAAATGACTTTAAAAGATTGAATTGTTGCTTACAATTTACACAGCAACCCAATGTTTTTGGAATTGGGGTTGCAGAACTGATCTGACTTTATTGGACAGATCAAAGTGAAAAGTATCCTTTCAAGTCTATGGTTATATTACTTGACTGTTTTTAGCGCCAACCTTTCTTTATGATCTTTTTTAGAAAACCTTTGATGTTTCAGCAAGGACAAAGTGCCAAGTGCTTCATTTTTGGCACAATAACTGTGTGGACTTCTCAAGTGTAAGTGTTATTTTAGTTCAGGCAGGTGTGTGATGTGTAAAAAGGAGTTGGTGAAGGTTAAGCATAAAAATATCAGCTACAGAGATACCTGCAGCACTTCTCCAGGATATTAAACACCTGTCTGAAGCATTGTTCACACGCAATATAAAACATAAATAAAAGTAAAAATAGGGTAATGACACCATCCATTGTTACTGGCTTCCTCAATTAGTCTTATGCAATTAAGATGGTGCTTTAATGAAATGAAGGAGCTTTCCATGAACTATAAAGCAACTGTGGACAGCTTACACTCATTTATAGATCAGCATAGGCTGTTTTACTGGCATTCCTCCTTCAAACACAAACAACACTACTGGCTGAGGAGTAATTCATTAAAATGGTTTATTTACATTTTGAGCACAACGCCGTTTTCTAGTTCTGTAACTCTTGCTGATAAAACTGCCAAACTGACAGCAGATTTACACTGTGGCAATAACAGGTGCAGTTTTGAGTTGTCTATTCCACTAAAAATACCACGCCAAATACTGAATGACCCCACCACGCATTGCACCCTGTGGTCTGACACCAAAATATCACAGTTACACAAAGCAAAATCATGTTGTGAAGGTCTACAGAGGGATTGCTGCTTGTGCTAGTCTTTCTGGCACCATTAATAGGAGCCTTCACTACAAGACAAAGAAACATGTGGCTTAAATTGTACAATATTAAAACGAAACATTTCAAACCGTGAGCTGACAAAAACTGCATTTCATAACTTCTCACAATGCTAAAGGAGAAAAAAAAACAAACTTTACATGAAAATAATTTCACAATTGTCAGAAATTTCTTGTCTCTTTACACACCTCGATTGGCTGAAACAAATACAAGAAATATTCCAATTTGTGTAAAAAGCATAATGAAAGAGAAACCGTTTTATACAATCAAGATAGGGTGAAACAACGACACCATGCTGCGTTTGGCAGGGACACTGAAAAAGCCTAGCTTATACAACAATTACTCTCATTACATTTTGTCATTCAAATAAAAGAAGACATTATTCATAATTTTTCTAAAAGTAAACAACCTATAACTCGTGCTTAAATGTTTAATGTACTTGAAAAAAAAAGAAAAAAAATCTATTAATTATAAGGAGAACCATTAAAAAAAAAGAGTAAGTGCCAATTCTGTTTCAAAAGAAAACCTTCCAAGACCAACTGCCTTCCCTATTGTGTGAAAGTGAGAAATTTTTTACATAGAAAAAGAAACAAACTGTACAGGCACACTATGTGTGGAGAGAAAAATGAATCAAGAAATTCTCTAACATAATATGAAACCCAACAAAGAAGGAAGTGGCTGAACTACTCGATGACTCTTTTCACATAGGCGATGCTACATCCATTTCCAAAGTGAGTGAATCTGCAGATTAAATAAATAAACAAGAATAAAGCAATTAATATTTCAGCCGAATGAAGTACATTTATGCTTAACGATTAGGTCTTATAGTAAGAACATCTTTTGAACATAAAGACATTTTGGCAAGTCCTTTCAAAGGGTCTGACACATGGATGTAAAGATAAATAAGTGTTTGGGTGAGGAGGTAAAGCCCTGGAAATGTACAAATACAAATGTGTGTGTTTGTAGTACATGTAAGTAGACTCACCCATATGCCCTGGAGTAGCTTCTGCTTCGTTGTGCATCAGGGAGTCAAGGGTCCGGGGTGACATGGGGAACAGGTCACTGGTGTTTCCAGAGTTTGTGCTGTGAAAAACAAACAGAGTAAAGAGCATAATATTAAGTACTATGCCTGGCGATGGCTACACAAATCAAATATGAAATACTATCTGTGGTAAGAAAAGTGATGAGGAAATGTGATGCAGCTATCAGAAGTAAAAAAAGGAGCTGTGATTCTGCTTTGATAAACAAAAGATTGGTTATTGAGTAAATAAGTCACTCCTGTCTCATCTCACTCTGGCAGATGATTTAGCATTGCCTGTGCACACAATCACTGCAAAAGAGCAGGGCAAGGGATTTTGTTTTTAAATGTATATAAACAGCATAGGTCATTAAATGCATTTTTTTTGCTTTAAATCAGGCAGTACTGTGCTCAACTGAACAGAAGGCAAACTGAACGGATGTTAATGACAACTAAGGATCAAGTGGATCGAACAGGCCAGTCTTTTGTTAAGGCTTCACAAAAAACAAAGTCCCCTTTTTGTCTTTTTTCTCCCACCAAACTCACTTCAGCCTTGTCCATTTTATCATGGAACTGATTTTGAATGTTTTACCTTTTTATATTATTTGAATCACTTATGACATCTAATTCGGACCTTTTAAGCCCCACAAAATAATGTGGATGAGGAATGATAAAGAAATGCCTGCAGGAAACAAGAGTATGGGGTGAAATAAGTGAAAGACTAATGAAAGGCAGGGAGCTACTTTTGTATTAGAACTAGGAACAATGCCTGTATGTTGGACTCAAAAATAGGAATTATGTAGGTGAAATTACTACCCATCAAACACACAAAGTGACAAAATGCACACACAGCCCTACATGCCAACTCCCCCCGAGTGGCCTACCCTGGGAATCCGTTCCCAAGCAGTTCACTGTCCGGCAAGTCCATGAAGACGGAGGGACACCTACGGAGACAGGTCAGGATCTCACTGAGCAAACCTCACCATCAAACCTACTAATACAAGGCGGATGACCCGTTTCTACATTCCCCTCGTGTCAGTCAACCTCACTCTATAAAACTCACCTGCAGCTAACGTCCAACTCCTCTGCCTTTCTCATTTGTGCTCATCTCAAACATTCAGGAAAGATTTGATGATCGTCAATAAATATTAATCGTGAATACCAAATATTCTAAAATGGGAATTCCATTCATGTTGTTTCCCTGCTAACTGGTAGAATTACAAATTTAGAAGTTTAAAATGCTTCTTTGTGCTTCCTTTCGTTCATCCTTAAGACTTTACTGTATATTTTGAGGTCTAAATATGGTCTAATAAACAGCAACATCAGTTGTGATTAGGGATGGGTATTGTTTAGATTTTGCCCCACTGTTATCAGTACAGTGAACACCTCTTTGAAGCGAATGCTCTAAACCCTAACCATTTGAGATTAATATTAATAAACAAATCTACGATTACACAGTTAGCTGGGTTGTGGTTCCTTTTTACAACTTCTCCATTATTCTATACTGAGTTATAATGAACTCTATATGTGAGCTCTTTGCTGCTGATGTATTGGCATATCTGCTTTCTTGTACTTACGGTAATGAGCACTTTCCATATCATTTCTAGTGAAAACGAATGCTTACATTTCCCACCCCCATCACTAATACTCTATCTGTGGGTGTGTGTGCACAGTTCTGGGGCTTCCCCTGCCCTTCATTTATAGATTCCAAGGAAGAGAGCTCTCTTCTCGCTTGGGACTACAACACATGATAATCTCTCCAGAGAGAAGAACTGACAACATTAAAGGTTATTGATACTTTACGCTCAGCACTGGTGCCCATTTAATACCATATTTTGGTACCCATCCCTATATATGATAAGAGAAAAATCCATACTAAATATTTAGAAATGGCCAGTGAGTCAGATGATGGCGTACAGAAAGTGTGAGACATGGCTATTCGCATGTCGAAAATGAAAATAAATTACTTTCACATGTGCTCAGTGAATACACAGCCAGATGGCCCATGTACAAAGTCAGTCTAAGCCAGTTCCCTACAGAATCTAATACCTGGGTTCACAACCCTTTTCCTGAACATTATGATTCCTCCTTCCTCCTTCTCACACTGAGAGTTAAAACCTCTATGTTGTTTTTTTCCCTGAACATTTGATTAACATTTGCCACATGAAAACATCAACAGGAAGTACAAAGAACTAATATAAGCGTTGGCCACTGTTTGGCATGCGACCATCCTGTAAATATTATCACTCTGAGATACGGAAGAAGGGAGTGGAAGATACTTACGGGGTAACGCAGATGAACTTTGTCTTCAAATAAGGCTGAATAGCTGTTAGGGAAAAAAATTGGAGAAAATAATGAGTACTATTAAAAACAAAACAAATAAAAAAAAACCCTAAAAAACACTTGCAATGCTGTTATAAACATACTGAGCAATATGTTTGAGTTTCTTTTTAACTAAATAAAGACTATGAAGAACAAGGCAGTAACTTACTGCTCGTTGAGTCTCCTCCCATCTCGGCTTCAGGAGCTGCTTCTGGCCTGCAGTATTTCCCAAAGGCTTCCTCTTTGGGAATCTCAGGATATAGGTAGACAAGAGGTGAAACCAGGATATTGGTGGCATCCATAATCTTGTAGCCCATGATGATGTCAGCAAACGACATGCTGTTGAGCTGCTGCTTGGTGTAAGGCTCCACTGACTGGATCTGGGTCTTTCCTATATAAACACAAAAAAGTTCAACATCACAACAAAAAGAGCACATGAAAAAAAAAAAAAGATCATCAAAACAGCATAAAGTTCTGAAATACTCACCACTGATGTCTTTCTCTACCCATGTAAAGGTGATGCCCCCCTCCTTGCTGCTCTCGCTGAAGCGCAGCAGAAAGGTACCGGGAGGTTTTGGACTCAGAATAGCTCTCTCTCTCTCCTTACTGATAAAACCCATGATATACCTGTAGACATATGAAGAAATGAAAATACTCTTAACCCTGTAACACCAAGTTTGTAATATTTAAAACATGAGTTTTTCAGATTTCTTTTTGTCAGAAAAACCTAAATAAATTGCACAAAAACACCAGCTATATTAAAAAACGATACCAATTAAAACATGTATGCACTAATTTATAATTAATATTTTTGTTTAAATGTGTCATAAGGTTAAATGATACACTCCAGTATCAAACATTTTGAATTTTCTGGCAATTATTTCATGGTTCAGGCTTTACGGCTAAAAGAAAATCTCTTCCATGTCAAGAAATTTTCTAATATGAAAGGAAGGTAAAAGGCTTGACTGTAAACAAAGCATGACCTCTCACCCTTCATTCCACAGTGCAAGAATGTACTTTTTCACCAGGTCAATAATGTTGTCAAGCCACACCCAGAAGGAGAAGCCTTTGCCTGCCATGTTTTCCTGTGAAGTGGAAGAAAAAAAAAAACTCATACAAAACAATAAAATATCACTAACAATAACGCTGAACAATTTAGTGCCATTTGTTGTAGTACCTTGCAGAACTTGGCCCAGGTGATTTGGCATCCAGAGTAGTTGACACATGGTCCTATATAGATAATTAAAGAATTAAATCAGATTCATAAAGAATCGTGAAAAACTAAAAAGACTTTGATATTTTAGGGCTTGTCATCAAACCTAGTAATTTCTCAGCCAATGTGGTGAGCTGTTCAATGGTCAGGCCTCTCTTGGTGGTGGAAGAGAACTGCCAGCTCAACACCTCAGCCACCTGGTCCCATGTCCCCACTGGAGGTTTGGTGAAGAAGTTCACGTTCTGTGCAAAGAACCACCAAGGCAAAATGTTATGAAAACATACACATTTCCTACTTTCTACTCAAACAGATCTTCAACTCCATTGAGTTAAGATCCACCTCATGCAGAGTTTAGTCCCTTTCCACCAGAGGGTGCTGTCTTACCTTTGGGTGGTTAGTGAGCATGTTGTACCACAGGATTGAAGCCCAGGCATTTGGCATCTGGCAGATGTTTGATATAACTACCACAGGCAGGGAATGGGTCTGCAAAAAAATGGTGCGTGTAACAAAAAAAACAACATCCATCATCCAAATGTTATTTATACATGATATTGTTTGTCATATATTTTATTAGCTATTAAAAAAATAAATAGACTTAAAAGTTAATTTAATTTTAAATTAGGATTAACTCATTACTAAAGGAGCTGCAAATTCAAATAATACGATTCTCTAACAAATCACCATTTGCATCAGCGTAAATCTTCAGTGCCAGTGACCCTGCCATTAACTGTGGGCAGGTCAAAAAAAGGGCAAACAGAAGAAATTTTGTGTTTTCAGAATCAGTCCCTGTAGAAGCAGTGTTGATGAAGGTGACTGGAGGCAGATGACTTCATAAATGACTAACTTCTCTGGTGACTAACTTTGTATTGGGTGTCATATAACGAAACTGCATTGTGCTTCGGGAGGGTTTCGAATTTTGCTGATTATTAGTGTTGCTTGGGTTAATAACGAAAGCAGAAATATGCTCCATTTCATGACACACAGTGGCAGTACTCACCTCCAGATCTATCTTCAGGCCCTGGTGATAGACCTCTGTTTCAAACGTGATAAGATGCAGTTCCTCAGTGACAATCAGAGAGGCCTAGAAAACAAAAAACAACCTACTTAAATCTCTTTATAAAATTATATGTATACGAGATAAAGAGGCCTGTTAATTACAGGTTAAAGCAGAATTTTTCACATGCTAAATACAGTTAAGATTCCTTAACGAGCGGTTTGTTCACTACATTACACAAGTCCAACAAGAAATAGGACTTACGTCGCTATTGGTCCGTCCACCATTACCACACCTTTGTTCTCGCAGGGTCTGCAACAAACAGGAAGTCAGTGCTCCGCAGAAGGCCTTTATCAGATTACTTCATAGCTTTCAACCGGTAAAACGTTTGACTCACCAAGTGTTTAAACTCTGCTGACAGGCTACCATTGTTGGACTCCTCCATGTTCATAACTTTTGTGTTAGTACCGAGGATGTTAAACTTTCGTGATCTAGTAAAATCATTGTAGAGCACAAAGTAAGAACCTTTTCTAAAATACTACACATTAAAAGCCCTGAGGTTTGAAAGTTTGTTTTTAAAGTCTTACCCTCGAATTGCAGCCACATCACCAGATTCCCTGAAAAATAGAGATGCAATGAGTAAAGCAGTACATTTGCTTTGTCTTTCTATCCTAGTGATCAAAACTTAACAGAAATGTTGGATGATAAAAATATATAAATAAACTCACTTATCAATGCAAACTTTAATTTTCAGCTGGTAATTGAGCTCAGGAAACTTTACCAGTAACCTTTAAAAATTTGAGAAAAGAGACAAGACAGAACAAATTCATCCACTCATTAAAATGACTGTTACACTTCCCGTTATACAGGACACAAAAAATGTTGCAATAAAATGTATAATCCCAAGTATAAAAATGTACAATCCGGTGTTGTAATCCTGATTCTCACCTGACTTTATTTGTGAACTGCACGCCTGTTTTGATAACCAGAGGTCTGTCCGGATGCATGGGCATGCAAGGCTGTCTTTCAACCACAAAAGCACTATGACACAAAAGCATCACATCAATACATGATGAGCAGTGTTAAAGGTATAAGTCCCCTAAGTAGTAATTTTAAATGTTGCTGAAATTTCACATTTACAATATAAAAACTGTGAGAGACTATGGGAAGCCTTAAACAAGTCAATAACTTAAATCCATGCAGATCAAGTTAAGACAAAAATCTAAGTAGATAAACATCAAATGTACCTCTTCATTAGGTTTCTGAACAAGTCCACAATTTTCTCCTCAAGTGCGGGCCGGTGCTGAATGATGGGGTCTCCTTTGTAGGACACCTTCTGTTGGAGCTCTTCCAGCTTCTTGATTTGCTGACGAATTTGGAGCTGGGACTCAGCCAAGGATGTAATCCTGATTAAAGTAATAATACAAATTGCAAATCAGACACTTGTCTATATGAAGGGAGTAAGAAGAGCAGAGACCAAAGTCCACAGTCACTTGGCCAGAATCATTAATTTATGATGTGAAACTTACTGTGAACACATCTAATAATAGACAGTCAATGATTAATCTCTGCACCAGTTTCCAAGTTTACCAAGTTTCAAGGCGATCGAGACAGATGTTTGGAGGGCCTCCAATACAAGCAATCTGCTGTCTCCTCTTCCAGTCAGCCAGTTCTTCATCTGTCAGGTTCTTCTGTACATAGTCCATGGCAGTCAACAAGCCTCCCATCTCCGTAACAATTTGCTATAACAAAGCAAACACAGCACACATTAAACATTGGCATAAAGAGTTATAATCCATCTGTGGTCCAAACTTTGTACCACTGTTAAAGATTCAAACAATGGCTATGTTAATATTCAGGTTTAAGACTAAGATTATTCTTTACTATCATTCAGCTAAACATTTAGATGTTTATCAATCTTGCATTTAGAATTTTTAGCCAAATTTCTATTTTCACCATTGATGAATGTAACTAGCAGTAGTTGCTTGTTCAGTACACTGCTGTCTTGCAAAATTTAATGGTCAACATATGTGCAGCATGCACAACTAAGGGACATTTGGTTTCACAGATGCAATGCCACATCTATTGCTTTTTGTGCTAGCCAGCAAACTTAAACTGGGTGTGCCAGCTTAAGTCCAGAGGTGTTGTTTCATTTCGATCTAATTACTTCCTAAAATGCCTCTTTATACATTTTTGCACGCCCTGAAATGTACAAATACAAAGGTTTCCCTTTATAAGGCATTATAATGTGTTTCGAATATCCTTGTTTTATAGATGTTACCTAAAGCACTTGACATAACACGTGCTTAAAATCAATAAAGTTTAAAAACCCACCCTCCTGAGCTGATCCAGGGCGCTCAGCATCTGCTCGAGCTGGGCCATCTTCTGCCTCGTTGCAGCTGCCTGGCTATTTCCATTTAGATCCTGGGACAACTCTGGGAAGAAGGTGAACAGGTCACCGTTAAATTAACTTTTAGCTGTTAATACAGGCAACACAGCTAAGAAAATTACATCAAAAACATAAGGTAATTATACCTCCTTGGCTTTTTAGGGTCTTGTAATTGAAATCAAAGTCATCTTGCAAGTTTTCAAGCATTTTCATCTTCTGTTCCATATCCTGTGGAGAAATGGGTGATAATGTACATACATTTATGCCAAGAAAGACCAATTACGTAAATATGCAGTAAGTGACTCTTTAATGAGAACTAACCTGGACCCGCTTCCTGATGTCTTGAAGATTGTGCTCCAGTATCTGCTGCTTCTCTGTCACTACTGTTCCAGTGGGATGGGCTGCCTGGCCATCCTGCAAGAGAATAAAAGATATACTACGTAGAGCCATTGTACTAACTATATACACCATAAAGTCTGAAGCTAGGTCAATATTGCTGTATGAACCTGTGTAGCAGAGGTGGCAGTCTGCAGCAGCCTCTGTTCTTCCCACAAACAGCGGGCAACAATGCGAGCAATATCCATCGGTTTCTCCAAGTACTTGCTCTGCAGATGCTGTTTAATCCTGCGGAGGTTATGCTGGTAGAGCACGTTGTTCTCCTGCAGGAAACGGCTGTACTGCTGATCTATTTCTCCCAAGAGGTTGTGGAACACCAGTGTAGCATGTGACTCCTTATTGGCAGCGTAAGCCCTTGTAAACGACAGGTAAAGTGATCAGTATGTGCTCATTTCTAATTTTTCCTCATACATTAAGGTCAAACTCATCCCCATTTGCCACAAGAATGAGTACTCGGGTTAACAAGCATACTGACACATTATATCAGAGTGCCCCGATTCCTGTGGTGGTGTTATAAGGAAAGAAGAGGGTGATAATGAATAAATAAAAACATTTTTAAAGCCAAAAAACATTTTGGAAATCATAATGAGTGGCCATCTCCCAATCCAAAGGGAGAGAAAATTACATGAATTAAAATGTAATTTCACAACAGAGCCTAGAAATGTAATTTTTATTTATTTATTAACCTTTATTTAACCAGGAAGATCCCATTGAGATTAAAAACCTCTTTTTCAAGGGAGACCTGGCCAAGATAGGCAGCAGCAGATGTCTCACAGTTACAGAAATTACTCAAACACAGGCAGCAACAACACACATGCAACAATAAGTGAAAGAATACAATTATTTCTTACCAGTCCTGACTCTCAATCCAAGGCGCAAGAAACTGTCGTAACTCCATGGGGAAGCTGTCACTGTACAAGTGGTAGAGTTGCTCCAGGTACCTGGTCTCCAGCTGCTGTAACTGGTTCCACTGGGCCATCTTGACACTCACCTCCTTTGGCCTACATAAAAAATATGAGTGAGACAACATAAATTCTCCAAAAATTCTATGAAAATACAAACTGATAATACATACTGCCACAGTTCCTGATAGAATCAGGAAAAATTAACTGTAGGGAAATAGCTAAATATCAAGTTTTCTCTGAAAACGATGTCAGGCCCATACAAGCTTCCTATTCAGTACAGTCACTTCCTGTTCACCGAAACACTACGCCTCCACCAAGAAATTTAGGCCAACATGAACAGCTGTCAACTCCCCGAGCAGACAGGAGTTAATGATCTTTGGTGGTAATTTTGCCTCGAAGGTATGTCACTGCGCTTTCTGTACTTTGCAATTTGAGTAATAGTGTTTCATTTATTTTCAATCAATCACCTGATATCAGATAACTCTTATCTAGGTTATGTAACTATAACTTTTCCATCAGATCCACTTGAGCAGTTCTCCTAGCCTTCTCACATTTTCAGCTAAAGGTTACACCATTCCCTGAAGAATTTTCTACTGTACACTAACAATAACCAGACATTCAATAAATCAAAAAGGAAGCCATTTCCTTTGTTTAATCCTTACATAACATGTTGGATAGTGTTGCAGTAACATCATTCCACTGAATGTGTGTACTGTGTTCTCTAATACACCTAAAGTTCGATTTTAAATATAGGCAGAGACGTTTAACAAAGCTTTCATGCTTGGTAGCTGCTGACACAGAAATGTACTTGACAAAAAACAAAACTTCACTTTCTGTTTCCAAATGTAAAGATTTTCTCCTGCTGACAAAGCATAGCACCGAAATAATGCTGTTCATGTCTGAACAGGTTAAAACACGGACCTGAATTTCCATCTGTCAAGGTATTAGCATTATTCAAATCAACACTACATAGGTTCCATATTCATACACATGGAGGTGAGTGCCTTCTCAAAAGCGTCATTTTAAAACACCAACAGAAAGTGGATTTCCCAACATTCACTGAAATTAGTGTTCAAGGAAAGCCACTAGTTTCGGTAAACCCCCCCAAAAAACAAAATCACTAATATGCTCACTAACGCTCACTAATATTGTGTTGCTATTTTAAGCAGTGAAGGCACATAATTAACTGTCCCACAAATGTTGCATTTTTCATATGACCAATGTTCCTCTTCCCACATCATATGAAAAAGATGCATTCATGCATGGTGTAGATTTCTGGGCATGTAAAAACCCTGAGAGGATCAAACCAAAGAATAGGCAAGTCTTTATCAGTTCAATAAACAACAACAACAACAACAATAAAACAGTATTTCAAGTTAACCATGACCCTTAGGCACAGTTGTAAGTTTATTGTGTAACCTACTTATCCTGTTTCTCCTGAAATGGCTGGACTATTTTGACATTTACTAAGCCCTTCTGTGAGATCTCTGCAGAATTATACGTGTGCAGTTACAGAAATAGTTGTGTTTTATTTTTAATCAAGAGTAACTTTAGACAAGCAGCTTGTTTATGTCAGATGAAAGGAATCCATAAAGTCTAAACAACTCATCTGTTGGTTGCATAACTTAGACATTTTGCTTAGGTCTCACACATTTTGTGTTCCTTTTCTTTTCACACCTCTATCAATGTCTGAGCTTTAAAACTAAATCTAAAGCTCTCAAATTAAAATCCACAACTCAGAATTAGTTATCATAAATAAACCTGTCTACCCAGCTTGTCCACTGCCCTATGCTCGGAAGTAAGTGGCACAAACAGTGCCAAGCAAAGTGCCATTCATTAAAACTCATACCTATGATATTCCAGGAAGCACTTCCTTGAGACAACAACGAGAAACAGTAAGCATGTCAACCTTCACTGGCAGTGGATGAAAACAATAGTACAACTACATGTGTTATTAGGCAAAAATAAATAAATAAAATACTGATTGATTATGATGTGCGTCCATATTCAAAACTCGTCAAAAGTTAATAATCTGCTAACTCACTGTCCCCAATTAAAGCCTAATTTATTGAATGCAAGCCTTGAATCATAAGGCTAGGTAGTGGGTGTGCTGTCCAACTGATGGCATGGTGATGGGCGTGACAGCTTAAAGAAAACAGAAAGAACTGAACTGAATTTTCCTCGGTCCATAGGGGCATCCCGTTAAAGCCCACCTTCCCTTTTTAAAACATATCAGATGTACTCCCATTATTAAACGAGGCGTTAGAGAGTAGACGAGAAAAACAGAGCACACAAACACAAAAACTCTTAAATATTACGTCTGTAATATACATTTTACAAGAAACGAGCAGAACTGTAACACACTTAAAAACGTTATTACCACTTTAATAAATTATGTATCACTGTGAGCAGAGGGGGTTTCTCCAACGTGAATAACTAAGAACCTATAAAGTACTGCAAGTCTACCCCAGCAGCGTTATCGATATTAGAAGTAGACGTGCATTAACATTACGTTAAAAATATAAAATTTACACCAAAAGCAGAAGTCGATTTATATTTGCTTACCTGGCTCGATGCCACTTATTTAGAAAGTTTCTCCGCCAAAACAGTAACCCTTCTCATAAAACACACTGACGATAACGGTCAGTGGCAACTTTCGTAAAGATTTTACCCACAAAAACGAGGGAAAGAGCTCGAAAAAAACCCCGTAAGTCTTTATATTCTCTTCCCAACACGAGAAACGCTTCTTCGTCGCGAGTACGGATCTTTCAGTCAACCCATCCCCTACATTGCAGACTTTCCAGCCAGCCAAACTCCTTAAACTATTTTACTGACATTTCCAGCCGCCAATAGTGGTCTTCAACTCTGCTGTCACCAATCACAATGCAGCTTATAAGCAAAGGAGGCGGGACACTAGCTTGAGGTTGGTTGAGGAGGTCCGCTGTATCGCTGTCGCAACTGAGCTGTTCTTCTGTGAACACCCTCCCCCGGGTAAGCCATAGAGTAGACGTTTACGCTGGGTAGCACCGGAGGGAGCACAAACATTTTCACGGAACAGCCAGCCTAGAAGTCATCTGAATTACCGGCAGTGCCGACGTCATCGAGAGTTTAATAACACTAGAGCGCTTCATTATTTACCTTTAGTTGTAATTCAACCCTCTGGTCACGGTAGGTGAAGGAACACAAATAAACTTATAAACTGACAAACAAGACAACATTATCAGCCAGGTTCGTAAGAATGATGCCAGGTACTAAATATTATTTAGTAAGGCGTTTATTTATATTGAATTTGTTAGGCATAAAAAGCCTTAAACACAACATAATCAGTCAAGCGTCATTATTTGAATATAAATCAGTAACACCAAGCGTAATATTATGTCACATAAGGTTGCAGTAATGTTGAAGCTCATTTTCTGAATAACCAGCAGCTTAAAACAAGACAAAATAAACAGGGTGACAAAAACACACATTTCTTCTAAAGGAACCAGCGAGTATTATGGATAAAGTACAGGTTGTCTTTGCCAATAAAATAAAATAAAATACAAAAAAATAAAAAGTAAAATAAACAAAAGGCTAATGCTATGAAAATAACATGTCCATGTGAATTCACAGGCCAACGGCTGATTTCTTTATTGTTTTTTGTGATTTCAGCTTCATGCTTGAGTACGTGACATGCACATACGTGTCACCATTTAGTAGTCTCTCCCTTCCTTACATAGACCCCCCCCCCCCTTTGTCTTTCCCAATGTTCTCTGGTTTGTGCAGTGCTCTGACCAAGCACTCTCCTTAATTGTATTTCCCCGCCCATTGATTACTTTAATGGTGGTCGATGCTACACAGTAGGCCTCTGCGTGTGTGTCTGCACCACATCAAGGTCATTCAAGTCTCCAGGGAGGCAAAATGGAAGACATACATTCACCTTGTTGTTGTCTGGAGTACGATATGCTCGGCCTTACAAAATCAGAAGACTGACTGTGCATTGCCATACCAGTTTACATTCATTACTGCTTGGTTGTTTTCTCCATCTTATGCCAACCAAATTGTATAATTTACGACCAGATTTTCGTAGTTTTTTGCTTTGGATGTTCCTGTAATAGTTCAGCTTCTCCATATTACATACAGCGGTCATTAAACTGTCATCTCGCGTCTCTCTAGACCATCTTTTTTTCTGTCTGTAATTACTTTGAGAAATTTTAATAGTGTGATGAGCACTGTGATGAGCTGTGACCATGGTGATACAGTCTTTTTCATCTCCCCTTTGCGCAGCAGTGCAATATGTGCAGCTTAGTGAGAACGTGTTCAGATACACCAAACGCTGTATCCTCATTAAACACTGTTTTTACTATTGCAAAAGTGACATTCCGAATCTTATTAATATTTTCATTCAGTTATTCATTTTTCAATATTAATGAAAGCAGAAAATTGAGCTGAAAAATTTACCACCCCACATATACAACAGTATATTTTGCTTTTTAGTGTGGTGTTATGCATTTAAACATTGTAATAGTTGAATTTGTCACAGGTTCATGGTTCCTAGTATATATTAATAGAAACTGCACATCTATTTCCAGCCATTCACACTTAAGTGCTTAACAATGAGAAACACTGTATTGTAACATTTGGGAAAATGTTTGTAATCTTACGAAATATGGAGTACAGTTTAGTTAAACGCCTTAGTTTAAGTCCAGTGCAACAGATCTTTTCTTCACCTGTTAATTCTTCTGTAGAAGAATCCGTCTACAACTTTTACATTTATTTTTCTTTACACATTCACATCACTTCACCCGTCCATTACAACACAAACATTGCCAAGAACTTCATTTTTCCATATTTGTTAAGGCAAATGCCACACTAAATATTGTCTCTTAATCACAACAATTGTTTTGTTTTTCTTTTAGCCACACAACTAATCAAACCAACAACAAACAACAAATACTCTAATTTCTAAGTGTAGCATATCCAGTCAGCCTGTAACATAACTCCTGTTTTTGTCTTTCTTTCTATTATTTGAGTGCTAAATATGAACAAATATGAAAGTTATCCCTGTTGGGAACAATACAAAGAGAACAGAAAACAAATAAGATGTCATAGATTGTAATCATCTATAAAGTCCCTACGGTGTCTTTGTGATTATATTCATTTATCAGTATTCTGTTTCCTTCTTCATCTTAATATAATTTCTTTCACAGCCCCATGGAGCTACGAGACTCTATTCACTTTGGGCTTTCTTTAGGTGGTCTGTATCCACCCTGACCAGGTCAGAGTCTTCAGTCACCTCCAACAGAGTATCTATTTCGGGGCTGTCTACACTGACAAGCTCCCCTTCCTCCACCTCCACGTGCACACCCATCCCGTTCTCCTCTCCCCCTGGCTGAACCTCGGCCTCGCTCACTTCTACCATCTCTGTGTTCTGCACCTCCTCCTCCTCCCCTTCCCGGATCTTCTTAACATGGAAGGTAAAAGGGGGAACGCGGTACACGGAGGTCTTGGAACGAGCATACATCTTGTGGTCAGGGGTGAGTGACTTCTTCATCTTCTCTTTGGAACTCTTCATCTTTGCCCTGCGCTCCTGGTTGGGAGTCATGCGGGTCCCGAGCTTGCCCATCTTCTTCTCAAGACTGTGCTTAGTTTTCTCCAGGTTGTCACGGGTTCTCTGTCTTGTCTTCTCCAAGTTTTCACGGGTTCTCTGCTTGGTCTTCTCCAAGTTTTCCTTGGTTTTTAGTTTGGTCTTCTCAATTTTCTCTTTGGAGAAGGCTTTCTTTATGTTATCGACTTGCTCTTTTGTGGTGCGTTGGAGGCGCTTTGTACGAGTCTCTATGAGCTCCTCTTCAATCACCACCTCTTCATCTGAATTAAGATTGTCTGGGAGTCCCTCCTGTCCCTCTTCAGGGATTTGTTCAAGGCCCTCCGCTGTTTTACTTTCTACCGCCTCTACTGTCTTGGATTTGGATGCCTTTGGTGGCTTCACTTGGTCCTAAGGGACAAAATAGAAAAGAAAGAAAGAGGGAAGAGCATTAAGCCACTGTAGCAGAGTGAGCGAGACTGAGTTAAACACGCTTTACAACAATTTTTACAAACATTTCAATGGACATGATGTTTCATTAATTGTATTATATGAATAATGTAAAAAATAGCATATGTTTCAATATGTTTTCAAATGTACCACCTATACAAAATTAAGATAATGGGCAACGGAATTGCAAATATCAGCCTGAAACTCTGCAGAGTCATGCCTCATCAAGTAGTCAGTGTAAACATGTCACTGTGTGCAGCTGGTGCGGAGTGCCATCTAGTGGTGTCACTTATATGCTGAAAATTGTGCAAACAAAATGGTTTTAAATTTTTAGTTATGAAAGATAAAAGAATGTGGCCTGGCATATTTATAGGTATTATATGGTATGTCTTTAAAACACTAGTAAAACCTGAAAGGAATCCTATATTATCTGCAACTTTAGTCATAATGAAACTGAAGCTCACAATTTGTTCATCTAACCACAGGTTTATTTCCTGCCACTTACATATCATTTCTGTATAAAAGTCTGAAGACCTACTCTTCAGTTAAATCTCTCAGTAGACAATTTCAGCTTGTGTTTGGTCGGCAAAAGTGTTGATAATAAAATGCAGAATAAAGACTGGTGGTTAAATTTCACTGGAAATACTTAGTGGTTAGAATAGTTTCGGTTTAGCACATAATGCAAAGTGCAGCAGTTTCAGAGATGACCAGAAATTGCTGCATACGTAAGCCCAGAAGCAGGACCATAGTATTTGTTCTATGCAAAGCTACACGGGAAGGTATCACCCTGTCAAACCACTTGGATGTGCATCTATTTGAATACCCCCCTACAAGTTACAATAAAACAAAAACAAAACCTTAAATCAAAGCACTTAAATTTTTTATTTTACATCTGTCAACAAAGTAGACCACATTTCCATGTTGTTTGGCAGGACAGTGTCATTCCAGATATCCACAAAGGGAGGAGCAGTACTATGATAGAAATGTGATTCCCCCAACTGTCAGTTACTGATAGAGGGATCAGTCGACCCACCCTGCTGAACCACACCTCAGTGCACCATCACTATAGTCACTGACTTTGTAGATACACATGAAAAAAATCAGTAATTCATGAGACCAACCTAGATATTTAGGAATATTTAGGATGTTCACACTCTGACATCTAGGTTCAAATACCATTGAGTGTTTACATCTGAAGTTAATTTAAGAGGCATAAAAGGCCTCATATCTATTTTGTCTAATATCAGTCCGCTAAAGAGCCACAATCAGACAAATAATTATCCTGCAGAACACGGACTCAGATGAAACAGACACAGCGCTGCTCGCATGTAGCAAAGGTTTGTTTATCATCTCCACTATGAGGGACGACACATCTTTATTTGAAAATTGTAAAAAGAAACATTTCAATAAGGTGGGAATAAAACTGTTATTATAAGCTGCTATAATTACAATGCATACACCTAAATGCGAATACTGCCTAGGCAGTAGTCACCCTTTCACACTTTAAATGACAATTTAGGTAACTTGATGGTGGAGTAAATGGCATTTCAGTCATTTCACAGCAAGAATACTCATTGTTCTTTCTTGCTTTTTGCATGTTCTCCCTGTACCTGTGTGGGTTTCCTAAGTTAACTTGTGATTCTAAACTGACTGCTGATGTGATGTAGATAAAGTGCTTCAAGTACATAGGACAAATGCTGCATAAATGTGACATCTAAAGCAGCGGTCCCCAACCTTTTTTGCACCATGGACCGGTTTATGCCCGACAATATTTTCACGGACCG